CGCTGTGACACAGCTACTGGGGAGACAAAGTCGGCCGGGGGTGGTTCCGGCCACGCACCCCCACCTCGTGCGCCGTGCCAGCCTTCGTGAGTGCCGCTGGCGAACGGCACTTGCTCCTGCAATCCGCCAAGGCTACGTGGGGGACCTTTGTCTCTGTGTAGGTGGGCCTCCACCTGTGCTCGGTGGGCTGGCTGGCGGGCGGGCGGGCCGGCTACCCCACCATCTACCCCAGCAAGCGCTGCGGCCTCGGGGTGGTGGGCATCGTGGACTACGGAGAGCGGCTCAACCAGAGTGAGCTCTGGGACGTCTACTGCTTCCGTGTCAAAGGTGCCTGCATGCGTGCGTGTGTGTGGGTATGTGTGTGTGTGTACGTGTGTGTGTGTGTGCGTGGGTATGTGTGTGGGTATGTGTGTGGGTATGTGTGTGCGTGGGTATGTGTGTGTGTACGTGTGTGTGTGTGCGTGCGTGTGTGTGTGTGTGCGTGGGTATGTGTGTGTGTGCGTGGGTATGTGTGTGTGTGTGGGTATGTGTGCGTGTGGGTATGTGTGCGTGTGGGTATGTGTGCGTGTGAGTGTGTGTGTACGTGTGTGTGTGTGCGTGCATGCGTGTGTGTGTGTGGGTATGTGTGTGTGTACGTGTGTGTGTGTGTGTGCGTGGGTATGTGTGTGTGTGTGGATATGTGTGTGTGTGGGTATGTGTGCATGTGGGTATGTGTGTGGGTATGTGTGTGTGTGTGCGTGTGTGTGGGTATGTGTGTTTGTGCGTGTGTGTGGGTATGTGTGTGTGCGTGGGTATGTGTGTGTGCGTGGGTATGTGTGTGTGCGTGGGTATGTGTGTGCGTGCGTGGATATGTGTGTGTGTGCGTGTGTGTGGGTATGTGTGTGTGGGTATGTGTGTGTGTGTGCGTGCGTGCGTATGTGGGTATGTGTGTGTGCGTGTGTGTGGGTATGTGTGTGTGTGTGTGTTGGTATGTGTGTGTGTGTGCGTGTGTGTGGGTATGTGTGTGTGTGCGTGTGTGTGGGTGTGTGTGTGTGTGGGTATGTGTGTGTGCGTGCGTGCGTGCGTGTTTGGGTATGTGTGTTTGTGCGTGTGTGTGGGTATGTGTGTGTGTGTGCGTGGGTATGTGTGTGGGAATGTGTGTGCGTGGGTATGTGTGTGTGTACGTGTGTGTGTGTGTGCGTGCGTGTGTGTGTGTGTGCGTGGGTATGTGTGTGTGTGCGTGGGTATGTGTGTGTGTGTGGGTATGTGTGCGTGTGGGTATGTGTGCGTGTGGGTATGTGTGCGTGTGAGTGTGTGTGTGTACGTGTGTGTGTGTGCGTGCATGCGTGTGTGTGTGTGGGTATGTGTGTGTGTACGTGTGTGTGTGCGTGTGTGTGTGCGTGGGTATGTGTGTGTGTGTGGATATGTGTGTGTGTGGGTATGTGTGCATGTGGGTATGTGTGTGTGTGTGGGTATGTGTGTGTGTGTGCGTGTGTGTGGGTATGTGTGTTTGTGCGTGTGTGTGGGTATGTGTGTGGGCGTGGGTATGTGTGTGTGCGTGGGTATGTGTGTGTGCGTGGGTATGTGTGTGCGTGCGTGGATATGTGTGTGTGTGTGTACGTGTGTGTGGGTATGTGTGTGTGGGTATGTGTGTGTGTGTGCGTGCGTGCGTATGTGGGTATGTGTGTGTGCGTGTGTGTGGGTATGTGTGTGTGTGTTGGTATGTGTGTGTGTGTGCGTGTGTGTGGGTATGTGTGTGTGTGCGTGTGTGTGGGTGTGTGTGTGTGTGGGTATGTGTGTGTGCGTGCGTGCGTGTTTGGGTATGTGTGTTTGTGCGTGTGTGTGGGTATGTGTGTGTGTGCGTGTGTGGGTATGTGTGTGTGTGTGTGCGTGTGTGTGGGGGTGTGTGTGTGACCGCACAGACTGTAACAACTACAGGGGCATCTCACTCCTCAGTGTGCCGAGAAAGGTCCTGGCAAGGATTATTCAGCATCGCCTTGCCAGGCACGCTGAGGAGAGGCTTGCGGAGCCCCAATGCGGTTTCAGGAAAGGGCGGTCCTGCACAGATGCCATATTTTCTGTCCGTCTGCTACAGCAGAGGTGTAGGGAATTCCAACAAGACCTACATCTCTGCTTTATTGACCTGGTCAAGGCCTATGATACCATCAGTAGGCCTGGGCTCTGGGTCGTTCTTCGTGCTTTTGGAGTACCTGACCCTCTGCTCACGATCATTAAGGACCTTCATGATGGTGAGCGGGCCCGGGTAAAACTACGTGGCCGGGAGTCAGAGCCATTCCCTGTACACCTTGGGGTGCGACAGGGATGTCCTCTGGCTCCCACATTATTTAACATCTATTTTGACCACGTAGTTCGTGAAGCCTTCAATAGCTGTACCGGGGGAATCTCCATATGGTACAGATATAATGGGAGGCTAATCGATGCCCGGGTGCGGTCAAGGGATGGCTCCCTATTGCTCAACCACGTTATGTATGCTGATGACTTGGTAATAGCTGCTCAGTCAGAGGAGGAGTTGGAGACGCTGCTGCTGAGACTGGAGCGTGCCACTAAGAGGTGGGGCCTTACCATCAGCCCCACCAAAACTAAGCACCTGCCTGGGTATTTTGTACCATCGGACACTCCACCCCCACAACTCCCAATCGGTGATGGGGCAGTTGTGGAGAGAGTGGAGAGTTTCCCATACCTGGGCAGTGTGCTTATGACTGGCTCCAGTTTAACAGCAGAGGTCTCACTCCGAATCAGTCGAGCGGCAATATCTTTTCATCGGTTGCGTAACGCTGTGTGGAAGCTACCTGGTCTGTCGCTCCGCACTAAGCTTCAGGTCTTCTCGGCCACGGTCATTCCCTCCCTTCTCTACGCTTGCGAAACGTGGACCCCCCTAATGGAACATCTTCGCCGGTTAGAAACATTTAGGCTGGCCTGCCTACGATCCATCCTGGGTTTAACCAGACTGGATTGTGTGAGGAGCTCACAAATCCTTGAAAGATCTGGGCAGGGTCCCATCGGTGAGCTCCTCCGGCAGGCAAGGCTGCGATGGCTGGGTCATGTTGCCCGCATGCCCAGCCACCGCATGCCGAAACAGCTTTTGTTTGGCCGGATTGAGGGGGCTAAGCGGGCGCGGCACGGGCTGGAGAAGAGATGGAGTGATGTGGTACAGGAGGACGTGGAGCTGAGTGGACTTGCCGATGACTGGTACCAGCGGTGTCAAGATCGGCCTCTGTGGAGGAGGCTCGTGAAGGATGCTACTGGGCAGTTGGAGGCAGTCGCCCTCCAACAACAAAGGAGGGCGGAGGAGCGACGCTCACAACAGCGAGCGGAGCGCCGGGTGGCTAAAGCACAGCAGGTTGGCACAGTAGGGGGCACAGGTGGTGCATCAGCCAGTCATCTCAGTCAGTCGACCCGTGGCACCTGGGTCTGCCCCGTGACCTCCTGCCAGCGGGCGTTCGACACTTCACGTGGCCTCAGGGTGCACATAGCCTGGCACAAGCGTCGTGGTGACGTCACCGCCACTTAGTGGCGAATGGCGGTTGTTGTTGTGTGTATGTGTGTGTGCGTGTGTGTGGGTATGTGTGTGTGTGCGTGTGTGTGGGTATGTTTGTGTGTGTGTGCGTGTGTGTGGGTATGTGTGGGTGTGTGTGTGTGTGGGTATGTGTGTGTGTGCGTGTGTGTGGGTATTGTGTATGTGCTTGTGTGTGGGTATGTGTATTTGTGCGTATGTATGGGTTTGTGTGTGTGTGTGTGTGGGTATGTGTGTGCGTGTGTGTGTATGTGTGTACGTGTGTGTGTGTATGTACGTGTGTGTGTGTGTATGTGCGTGTGTGTGTGTACGTGTGTGTGGGTGTGTGTGTGTGTATGTGTGTGTGTGTACGTGTGTGTGTGTATGTACGTGTGTGTGCGTGTATGTGGTGGGGAGCGATAGTGTAGCGGTTAGCGCGCTGCGCTATGAACCTGGCGACCCGGGTTCGATTCCCGCTCACGGCCAACACCAGTGACAATTATCTGAACCGGTCCCGGGCCTCCCCTAGGTCGACTCAGCCTCAAATGAGTACCTGGTGCGGTGTGTAAACATCGCCACTAGGGAGACAAAGGCGGTCGGGCGTGGTGCTGGCCACCCACCCTCTCGTGTACCGTTCCGGCCTTCATAGGTGCTCGCTAACAGCACTTGCCCCTACAGTCTGTTAAGGCTATACGGGGGGTCTTTGTCTTTGTGTGTGGGTATGTGTGTGTGGGTGTGTGCGTGTGTGTGTGTGCGTGTGTGTGTGTGCGTGTGTGCGTGTGTGTGCGTGCGTGTGTGTGCGTGCGTGTGTGTGTGTGCGTGTGTGTGTGTGCGTGTATATGTGCGTGTCTGTGTGTGCGTGTGTGTGTATGTGTGTGTCTGTGTGTGCGCGTGTGCGGCGCCCGCACACCATGGGGAGTGGTGAGACAGCGCTGGGTCCGTAGGGAGCCGTGGGGAACAAGCAGCCCGCTAGGCGGCTGTGGCGAGTATTGCCTGCCGGCGGTTTGGCCCCATCGGTCGCCCCGGGCGGGCGCGGCGATGCCGCCTGGAATTGCACGCGCGGCACTTGCCCCGACGGTCTGTTAAAGGCTACGCGGGGGGCCTTTGCCTTTGTGCGCTACAGAGGTGCGGTGCGCGTGCACGGACGGCTTTGTGGGCGACGGCTTCTCCTGCAACGGCGACGTCCTGCAGGTGCTGGCCGGCCTGCCCGGCCACACCACCTTCTACACGGTACGCAGCAGCGCCAGCAGCCGGCCAGCTGGGGACCGGTCCTCCGTGTCTCCTCCGTGTCTCCACCGTGTCTCCTCCGTGTCTCCGCCGTGTCTCCGCGTGTCTGCACCGTGTCTCCTCCGTGTCTCCACCGTGTCTCCTCCGTGTCTCCTCTGTGTCTCCACCGTGTCTCCGCCGTGTCTCCGCCGTGTCTCCGTCGAGTCTCCGCCGAGTCCCCGCGTGTCTCCGTGTGTCCCCGTGCCTCCGTGTGTCCCCGTGTGTCTCCGTGTGTCTCCGTGTGTCTCCGTGTCCCCGTGTGTCTCCGTGTGTCTCCGTGTGTCCCCGTGCCTCCGTGTGTCCCCGTGTGTCCCCGTGTGTCTCCGTGTGTCTCCGTGTCCCCGTGTATCTCCGTGTGTCTCCGTGTGTCCCCGTGCCTCCATGTGTCCCCGTGTGTCTCCGTGTGTCTCCGTGTGTCCCCGTGCCTCCGTGTGTCTCCGTGTGTCTCAGTGTGTCTCCGTGTCCCCGTGTGTCTCCGTGTGTCTCCGTGTCCCCGTGTGTCTCCGTGTGTCTCCGTGTGTCTCCGTGGCTCAGTGTCCAATAACCTACGTCGCTGCGTCCCCTTGTCCCCAGTTCCAGTGTCCCTGAGTTCCTGTGCATCCGTGTCCCCGTCCGTCCGTGTCTCCGTGTGTCTCCGTGTGTCCCCGCGCGCCTCCGTGTGTCTCCGTGTCTCCGTGTGTCTCCGTGTGTCTCCGTGTCCCCGCGTCCCGACACCTCAATCTGTTCCCGTGTGCCCATGTCCTTTGGTTCCGCACACTCCTTTGTCTCCGTGAATTGGCGTGTCCCCATGTGACTCCCGTGTGCCCGTGTTGACACGTTGTCCCCGCGTCGTCACGTCCGTGCGTCTCCCCTCCCACGTGATGCCCCGCCCACGTGATGCCCCCCCCCCACGTGATGCCCCCCCCCCACGTGATGCCCCCCCCCCACGTGATGCCCCCCCCACGTGCCTCAGGCCCTGCTGGCTTTCGCCAACGCGAGCGACAGCGGCCGTGAGCTGATGGAGGCGCTGGGCGGCGGCGACGACAACATCACGCTCTTCCTGCCGGCCGACAGCGGATTCGCGGCTAACGAGGTGCGGGGGGAGCTCCGCGAGGGGGAGCTCCGCGAGGGGGACCTCCGCGAGGGGGGCCTCCGCGAGGGGGCCTCCATGAGGGGCCCTCCGCGAGGGGGACCCCTGCGAGGGGGACCTCCGCGAGAGGGACCTCTGTGTGAGGACATGATTGCGATAACGGTGTGAGGAGCTCCGTGTGAGGAAGTTTCTGTGGGGGGGGCCCCCATTGTGAGTGGAGCTCTGTGAGGGGGGCTCTCTGTGAGGACCTCCGTGAGGGGGCCGTGGTGAAACGAGAGCCACGAATGGTGATTGTGTCCCTGCACTTGATGACGATGACGATATTGATGGTGTAGACAGATTGATGATGTTAATAGTGTCAACGCTGCCATGCAAGGACGTGTCCCAGCACGAGGTGATGATGATGATGGTGATGTTGGTGATGTTGGTGATGGTATTCATGGTGATGATGGTATTGATGTTGGTGATGGTGTTGATGTTGATGGTGTTGATGTTGGTGATGGTGTTGATGTTGGTGATGTTGGTGATGGTGTTGATGTTGGTAATGGTGTTGATGTTGGTGATGTTGGTGATGTTGGTGTTGGTGGTGTTGGTGTTGGTGATGTTGGTGATGTTGATGTTGGTGATGGTGTTGATGTTGGTGATGATGTTGATGTTGGTGATGGTGTTGATGTTGGTGATGGTGTTGTTGTTGTTTATGTTGGTGATGGTGTTGGTGTTGATGTTGGTGATGGTGATGGTGTTGGTGATGGTGTTGGTGATGATGTTGGTGATGGTGTTGGTGATGTTGGTGTTGATGTTGGTGATGGTGATGATGTTGGTGATGTTGGTGATGTTGGTGATGGTGTTGATGTTGGTGATGGTGTTGATGTTGGTGATGGTGTTGATGGTGTTGATGTTGGTCATGGTGTTGATGATGTTGATGATGTTGATGATATTGATGGTGTTGGTGATGGTGTTGATGTTGGTGATGTTGGTGATGTTGGTGATGGTGTTGATGGTGATGGTGTTGATGTTGGTGATGGTGTTGGTGATGGTGTTGATGTTGATGATGTTGGTGATGGTGATGTTGGTGATGTTGGTGGTGGTGTTGATGTTGGTGATGTTGGTGATGTTGGTGATGTTGGTGATGTTGTTGGTGTTGTTGGTGATGTTGGTGATGGTGATGTTGTTGGTGATGTTGGTGGTGATGGTGTTGGTGATGTTGGTGATGTTGTTGGGTGATGTTGGTGATGTTGGTGATGGTGATGATGTTGATGGTGTTGATGTTGGTGATGTTGATGATGTTGGTGATGGTGATGATGTTGATGTTGGTGATGTTGGTGATGTTGTTGATGTTGGTGATGTTGGTGATGGTGATGATGGTGATGGTGTTGATGTTGGTGATGTTGTTGATGTTGGTGATGTTGGTGATGGTGATGTTGGTGATAGTGTTGATGTTGGTGATGTTGGTGATGGTGTTGATGTTGGTGATGGTGTTGATGTTGGTGATGTTGGTGATGTTGGTGTTGGTGGTGTTGGTGATGTTGGTGATGTTGGTGGTGATGATGTTGGTGATGGTGTTGATGGTATTGATGTTGGTGATGGTGTTGATGTTGGTGATGTTGGTGATGTTGGTGATGTTGGTGTTGGTGATGTTGGTGATGTTGGTGGTGATGATGTTGGTGATGGTGTTGATGGTATTGATGTTGGTGATGGTGTTGATGTTGGTGATGTTGGTGATGTTGGTGATGTTGGTGTTGGTGTTTGTGTTGGTGATGTTGGTAATGTTGGTGTTGGTGATGGTGATGGTGTTGATGTTGGTGATGGTGTTGATGTTGGTGATGGTTTGGATGTTGGTGATGGTGTTGGTGATGATGTTGGTGTTGATGTTGGTGATGTTGGTGATGGTGTTGATGTTGGTGATGGTGTTGGTGTTGGTGATGGTGATGTTGGTGATGGTGTTGATGTTGGTGATGGTGTTGATGTTGGTGATATTGTTGATGTTGGTGATGGTGTTGATGATGTTGATGATGTTGATGGTGTTGGTGATGGTGTTGATGTTGGTGATGTTGGTGATGGTGTTGGTGATGGTGTTGATGGTGATGGTGTTGATGTTGGTGATGGTGTTGGTGATGGTGTTGATGGTGTTGATGTTGGTGTTGGTGGTGTTGGTGTTGATGTTGGTGATGTTGGTGGTGATGGTGTTAGTTAAGGTGATGTTGGTGATGTTGGTGATGTTGGTGGTGTTGGTGATGGTGTTGATGTTGGTGATGTTGGTGATGGTGATGTTGTTGGTGATGTTGGTGATGGTGTTGGTGTTGGTAATGTTGGTGTTGGTGATGGTGATGTTGGTGATGGTGTTGATGTTGGTGATCGTGTTGATATTGTTGATGTTGTTGATGATGTTGATGATGTTGATGGTGTTGGTGATGGTGTTGATGTTGGTGATGTTGGTGATGTTGGTGATGGTGTTGGTGATGGTGTTGATGGTGATGGTGTTGATGTTGGTGATGGTGTTGATGTTGCTGATGGTGTTGATGGTGGTGATGTTGGTGATGTTGGTGATGGTGTTGATGGTGATGGTGTTGATGTTGGTGTTGGTGGTGTTGGTGTTGATGTTGGTGATGTTGGTGATGGTGATGTTGGTGATGTTGTTGATGTTGATGTTGTTGATGTTGGTGATGTTGGTGATGGTGTTGATGGTGATGTTGTTGGTGATGTTGGTGATGTTGGTGGTGGTGTTGATGTTGGTGATGTTGTTGGTGATGTTGGTGATGTTGGTGATGGTGTTGATGTTGGTGATGTTATTGGTGTTGTTGGTGATGTTGGTGATGGTGATGTTGTTGGTGATGTTGGTGGTGATGTTGGTGATGTTGGTGATGTTGGTGATGTTTTTGGTGATGTTGGTGATGTTGGTGATGGTGATGATGTTAATGGTGTTGATGTTGGTGATGTTGATGATGTTGGTGATGGTGATGATGTTGATGATGTTGGTGATGTTGGTAATGGTGATGATGGTGATGGTGTTGATGTTGATGGTGTTGATGTTGGTGATGGTGTTGATGTTGGTGATGTTGGTGATGGTGTTGATGTTGGTGATGGTGTTGATGTTGGTGATGTTGGTGATGTTGGTGTTGGTGGTGTTGGTGATGTTGGTGATGTTGGTGGTGATGATGTTGGTGATGTTGGTGTTGGTGGTGTTGGTGATGGTGTTGGTGATGTTGGTGATGTTGGTGATGTTGGTGTTGGTGATGGTGATGGTGTTGATATTGGTGATGGTGTTGGTGATGTTGGTGTTCGTGATGGTGTTGATGTTGGTGATGGTGTTGATGTTGGTGATGGTGTTGATGTTGGTGATGGTGTTGGTGATGATGTTGATGTTGGTGATGGTGTTGGTGATGGTGTTGATGTTGGTGATGGTGTTGGTGTTGATGGTGTTGATGTTGGTGTTGGTGATGTTGGTGTTGATGTTGGTGATGTTGGTGATGGTGTTGATGTTGGTGATGGTGTTGATGTTGGTGATATTGTTGATGTTGGTGATGGTGTTGATGATGTTGATGATGTTGATGGTGTTGGTGATGGTGTTGATGTTGGTGATGTTGGTGATGGTGTTGGTGATGGTGTTGATGGTGATGGTGTTGATGGTGATGGTGTTGATGTTGGTGATGGTGTTGGTGATGGTGTTGATGGTGATGGTGTTGGTGTTGGTGGTGTTGGTGTTGATGTTGGTGATGTTGGTGGTGATGGTGTTAGTTAAGGTGATGTTGGTGATGTTGGTGATGTTGGTGATGGTGTTGATGTTGGTGATGTTGGTGATGTTGTTGGTGATGTTGGTGATGGTGTTGGTGTTGGTAATGTTGGTGTTGGTGATGGTGATGTTGGTGATGGTGTTGATGTTGGTGATCGTGTTGATATTGTTGATGTTGTTGATGATGTTGATGATGTTGATGGTGTTGGTGATGGTGTTGATGTTGGTGATGTTGGTGATGGTGTTGGTGATGGTGTTGGTGATGGTGTTGATGTTGGTGATGGTGTTGATGTTGCTGATGGTGTTGATGGTGTTGATGTTGGTGATGTTGGTGATGGTGTTGATGGTGATGGTGTTGATGTTGGTGTTGGTGGTGTTGGTGTTGATGTTGGTGATGTTGGTGATGGTGATGTTGGTGATGTTGTTGATGTTGATGTTGTTGATGTTGGTGATGTTGGTGATGGTGTTGATGGTGATGTTGTTGGTGATGTTGGTGATGTTGGTGGTGGTGTTGATGTTGGTGATGTTGTTGGTGATGTTGGTGATGTTGGTGATGGTGTTGATGTTGGTGATGTTGTTGGTGTTGTTGGTGATGTTGGTGATGGTGATGTTGTTGGTGATGTTGGTGGTGATGTTGGTGATGTTGGTGATGTTGGTGATGTTGTTGGTGATGTTGGTGATGTTGGTGATGGTGATGATGTTGATGGTGTTGATGTTGGTGATGTTGATGATGTTGGTGATGGTGATGATGTTGATGATGTTGGTGATGTTGTTGATGTTGGTGATGTTGGTGATGGTGATGATGGTGATGGTGTTGATGTTGATGGTGTTGATGTTGGTGATGGTGTTGATGTTGCTGATGTTGGTGATGGTGTTGATGTTGGTGATGGTGTTGATGTTGGTGATGTTGGTGATGTTGGTGTTGGTGGTGTTGGTGATGTTGGTGATGTTGGTGGTGATGATGTTGGTGATGTTGGTGTTGGTGATGGTGTTGGTGATGGTGTTGGTGATGTTGGTGATGTTGGTGTTGGTGATGGTGATGGTGTTGATGTTGGTGATGGTGTTGGTGATGTTGGTGTTTGGTGATGGTGTTGATGTTGGTGATGGTGTTGATGTTGGTGATGGTGTTGATGTTGGTGATGGTGTTGATGTTGGTGATGGTGTTGGTGATGATGTTGATGTTGATGTTGGTGATGGTGTTGGTGATGGTGTTGATGTTGGTGATGGTGTTGGTGTTGATGGTGTTGATGTTGGTGATGGTGTTGGTGTTGGTGATGTTGGTGTTGATGTTGGTGATGTTGGTGATGGTGTTGATGTTGGTGATGGTGTTGATGTTGGTGATATTGTTGATGTTGGTGATGGTGTTGATGATGTTGATGATGTTGATGGTGTTGGTGATGGTGTTGATGTTGGTGATGTTGGTGATGGTGTTGGTGATGGTGTTGATGGTGATGGTGTTGATGTTGGTGATGGTGTTGGTGATGGTGTTGATGTTGGTGATGTTGGTGATGTTGGTGATGGTGTTGATGGTGTTGATGTTGGTGGTGTTGGTGATGTTGGTGGTGATGGTGATGGTGTTAGTTAAGGTGATGTAGGTGATGTTGGTGATGTTGGTGATGGTGTTGATGTTGGTGATGTTGGTGATGGTGATGTTGTTGGTGATGTTGGTGATGTTGGTGATGGTGTTGGTGATGTTGGTGATGTTGTTGGTGATGTTGGTGATGTTGTTGGTGATGTTGTTGGTGATGTTGGTGATGGTGATGTTGTTGGTGATGTTGGTGATGTTGTTGGTGATGTTGGTGATGGTGATGTTGTTGGTGATGTTGTTGGTGATGATGTTGGTGATGTTGGTGATGTTGTTGGTGATGTTGTTGGTGATGTTGGTGATGGTGATGTTGTTGGTCATGTTGGTGATGTTGTTGGTGATGGTGATAATGTTGGTGATGTTGTTGGTGATGTTGGTGATGGTGATGTTGTTGGTAATGTTGGTGATGTTGTTGGTGATGTTGGTGATGTTGGTGATGATGATGATGTTGGTGATGTTGGTGATGATGATGATGTTGGTGATGTTGGTGATGTTGGTGGTGATGGTGATGTTGGTGATGTTGGTGATGTTGTTGGTGATGTTGGTGATGGTGATGTTGTTGGTGATGTTGTTGGTGATGGTGTTGGTGATGTTGATGGTGTTGATGTTGGTGATGGTGTTGGTGATGTTGGTGATGGTGATGTTGTTGGTGTTGGTGATGGTGTTGGTAATGGTGTTGGTGTTGGTGATGGTGATGTTGGTGATGTTGATGTTGGTGATGTTGGTGTTGATGTTGTAGACGCTGTCTTGGCGAGACGTGTCCCAGCACGTGGTGGCCCAAGTCCGTGGCCGTGTCCGCTACGCGGCGCTCACCGAGGGCCTCGCACTGCCCTCACGCAGCGGGGGGGCGACGCTGTCCATCCACACGGCCAACCGCACCGAGCGCAAGGCACCGCCCTGAGCACACCACACCACATGGCCACACCGCACGGCCACACCACACGGCCACACCACACGGCCACACCGCACGGCCACACCGCACTTTATTATTTTTTACAATGTGCGCATGCTTATGTACGTATGCCAATGTACATTTGATAATGTACGTATAGTAATGTGCACGTGATAACGTGCGCATGATTGCGTATACCGATGAAAGTATGATGATGTGCGCGTTTAACTTCTTTCGCACCGTACCTAGCCAACCATGCTAATTATGTTGATGATGTTACTGATGATGTTACTGATGACGTTGATGATGTTACTGATGACGTTGATGATGATGTTGTTGATGTAGATGGTGAATGACCGCGCCATCCTCAATTGGGACGAGGTGGCGACCAACGGCATCATCCACATCATCGAAGGCCCCCTCCGGGCCCCCACGCTCCCCGTACGGACCCCACAGGCACCCCTATAGACCCCGCTAGTACCACACTCACACAGGGACCCCTATAGACCCTGCTAGTACCACACCCACACAGGCACCCCTATAGACCCCGCTAGTACCACACTCACACAGGGACCCCTATAGACCCTGCTAGTACCACACACTCACACAGGGACCCCTATAGACCCTGCTAGTACCACACTCACACAGGGACCCCTATAGACCCTGCTAGTACCACACTCACACAGGGACCCCTATAGACCCCGCTAGTACCACACTCACACAGGGACCCCTATAGACACCGCTAGTACCACACTCACACAGGGACCCCTATAGACCCTGCTAGTACCACACTCACACAGAGACCCCTATAGACCCTGCTAGCACCACACTCACTCACACAGGGACCCCTAAAGACACCGCTAGTACCACACTCACACAGGGACCCCTATAGACCCTGCTAGTACCACACTCACACAGGGACCCCTATAGACCCCGCTAGTACCACACACACAGGGACCCCTATAGACCCCGCTAGTACCACACTCACACAGGGACCCTATAAACCCTGCTAGTACCACACTCACACACACAGGGACCCCTATAGACCCTGCTATTACCACACCCACACAGGGACCCCTATAGACCCTGCTAGTACCACACTCACACAGGGACCCTATAGACCCTGCTAGTACCACACCCACACAGGCACCCCTATAGACCCTGCTAGTACCACACTCACACAGGGACCCCTATAGACCCTGCTAGTACCACACTCACACAGGGACCCCTATAGACCCTGCTAGTACCACACTCACACACACAGGGACCCCTATAGACCCTGCTAGTACCACACTCACACAGGCACCCCTATAGACCCCGCTAGTACCACACTCACACAGGCACCCCTATAGACCCCGCTAGTACCACACTCACACAGGGACCCCTATAGACCCTGCTAGTACCACACTCACACAGGGACCCCTATAGACCCTGCTAGTACCACACTCGCACAAGGACCCTTATAAACCCCGCTAGTACCACACTCACACAGGGACCCCTATAGACCCTGCTAGTACCACACACACACAGGGACCCCTATAGACCCTGCTAGTACCACACTCACACAGGCACCCCTATAGACCCCGCTAGTACCACACACACACAGGGACCCCTATAGACCCTGCTAGTACCACACACACACAGGGACCCCTATAGACCCTGCTAGTACCACACACACAGGGACCCCTATAGACCCTGCTAGTACCACACTCACACAGGCACCCCTATAGACCCTGCTAGTACCACACTCACACAGGCACCCCTATAGACCCTGCTAGTACCACACTCACACAGGGACCCCTATAGACCCTGCTAGTACCACACTCACACACACGTCTATGTGTCTCTGTGTATGTCTATGTGTCTCTGTGTATGTCTATGTGTCTCTGTGTAAGTCTGTGTGTCTCTGTGTATGTCTATGTGTCTCTGGGTAAAGTCTATGTCTCTCTGTGTAAGTCTATGTGTCTCTGTGTAAGTCTCTGTGTCTCTGTATATGTCTATGTGTCTCTGTGTAAGTCTGTGTGTCTCTGTGTATGCATATGTGTCTCTGTGTATGCCTATGTGTCTCTGTGTAAGTCTGTGTGTCTCTGTGTATGTCTATGGGTCTCTGTGTAAGTCTACGGGTCTCTATGTGTGTCTATGTGTCTCTGTGTATGTCTATGTGTCTCTATGTGTGTCTATGTGTCTCTGTGTATGCCTATGTGTCTCTGTGTTAATCTCTGTGTCTCTGTGTAAGTCTCTGTGTCTCTGTGTAAGTCTACGTGTCTCTGTGTAAGTCTACGGGTCTCTATGTGTGTCTACGTGTCTCTGTCTCAGCCAATGGCGACTGGGCCGAGACCACCAACTCACTACCCGGTTCAATCACCAGCAGCAGCGGCTAGCACTCGGATTAGATTGTTGCCCAGGAGCTCAGCGGTGATGACCCCTTGACCCCTTGACCCTGACACCACCACCCCCCCCCCCCCTCCGGCAATAGGAGGAGGCGAGCGGCACGGGCGCGGTGGCGGGGTTGGTGCTGGCGGGGTTGGTGCTGCTGCTGGCGCTGGGCGGTGTCGCGCTGCGCTACCTTCGCCGCCACCCGGACTCGGCGCGCTTCCAGTACTCCAAGGTGAGCGAGCGGCGGCGCTGCTGCGCGGGGTTGGTGGTGAGCCGTGGCGAGGGGTGGCGTGCGGAGCGGCGTGGTGAGCGGGGTGGTGGTGAGCCGTGGCGAGGGTGCGTGTACGTGTGTGTATACGTGTGTGTGTACGTGCGTGTGTACACGCGTGTGTGTACGCGCGTGTGTGTTCGCGTGTGTCTGTACGTGTGTCTGTACGTGTGTGTTGGCGTGTGTGTGTACGTGTGTGTGTACGTGTGTCTGTACAGGTGTATACGCGTGTGTGTGTACGTGTGTCTGTACATGTGTATACGCGCGTGTGTGTGTGGGGAGCGATAGTGTAGCGCTACGCTGCGCTACGAACCCGGCAACCCGAGTTCGATTCCCGCTCACGGCCAACACCGGTGACGATTATCTGAACCGGTCCCTGGGTCTCCCCTAGATCGACTCAGCCTCAAATGAGTACCTGGTGCGCTGTATAAAAACATCGCCGCTGGAGAGACAAAGGCGGCCGGGCGTGGTGCTGGCCACCCACCCCCTCGCGTGCCGTGCCGGCCTTCACAGGTGCTCGCCAAACAGCACTTGCCCCTACAGTCTGTTGAGGCTACACGGGGGATCTTTGTCTTTGTGCCCGCGGCTACGTTGTGCGGTGCAGCACGACGACCGGGAGGTGCTCACCTCGTCGATGGAGGGCGAGGAGGAGGAGGAGGTGGACGCCGCTGCCGCGTCATCGTCGTCGTCGTCGTCGGCCCCCTCCTCGCGGGGGGGGGCGGGGCGCCCCGCTCCGCCCGCAGGGTCCCGGGCCAAGACGAGGGCCGGCGGCCCAGCCCCTCCCTCCTCCACCTCCTCCTCCACCTCCTCCTCAACGTCCCCCACCTCCACCTCGTCCACCTACCTGCGCTTCCCCAGCCCGGACCACAGCGGGCCGTTTGCGGTGCGCAGTGGGTGACGTGCGTGCGTGTGCGTGTGTGTGTGCGTGTGTGTGCGTGTCAGCGTACGTGCGCGTGTGTGCGCGTGTGTGCGTGCGTGTGCGTGTGTGTGTGCGTGTGTGTGCGTACGTGCGCGTGTGCGTGTGTGTGCGTGTGTGTGCGTGTGTGCGTGTGTGTGCGCGTGTGCGTGCGTGTGCGCGTGTGTGTGTGTGCGCGTGTGTGTGCGTGTGCGCGTGTGTGAGTGTGTGCGCGTGTGCGTGCGTGTGCGCGTGTGTGTGTGTGTGTGCGCGTGTGTGTGTGTGTGCGCGTGTAGAGGTTAGCGGGTCGAGCTACGAACCCGGCGACCCGGGTTCGGTCCTGGGCCTCCACTGGGTCGACTCAGCCTCAAATGAGTACCTGGTACGCTGTGTAAAAAATCATCGCCTCCGGGGAGACAAAGACGATCGGATGTGGTGCTGGCCACCCACCCCCTCGCGCACCGTTCCGGCCTTCGTAGGTGCTCGCTAAGAGCACTTGCCCCAACGACCTGCCATAGGCTACACGGGGGAACTTTGCGTTTATCATCGCCTGAAGGCGTCGTGCCATTCGTGTCTCTGTACCCCACAGGGCTCGGACGAGCGCCAGCTGGTGGGCAGTGGAGAAGACGAGGGCCTGTGACGGTGCAGGGCTCCGTCACCACTACTGGCACCAGTGACACTAAGATATTACTACTGGCACCAGTGACACTAAGATATTACTACTGACACCAGTGACACTACCACATTACTACTGACACCAGTGACACTAAGACATTACTACTGACACCAGTGACACTAAGACATTACTACTGACACCAGTGACACTACCACATTACTACTGGCACCAGTGACACTACCACATTACTACTGACACCAGTGACACTAAGACATTACTACTGACACCAGTGACACTAAGACATTACTACTGGCACCAGTGACACTAAGACATTACTACTGGCACCAGTGACACTACGATATTACTACTGACACCAGTGACACTAAGACATTACTACTGACACCAGTGACACTAAGACATTACTACTGGCACCAGTGACACTAATACATTACTACTGGCACCAGTGACACTACGACATTACTACTGGCACCAGTGACACTACCACATTACTACTGACACCAGTGACACTACCACATTACTACTGACACCAGTGACACTAAGACATTACTACTGACACCAGTGACACTAAGACATTACTACTGGCACCAGTGACACTAATACATTACTACTGGCACCAGTGACACTAAGACATTACTACTGGCACCAGTGACACTAAGACATTACTACTGACACCAGTGACACTAAGACATTACTACTGACACCAGTGACACTACGACATTACTATTGACACCAGTGACACTAAGACATTACTACTGGCACCAGTGACACTAAGACATTACTACTGGCACCAGTGACACTACGATATTACTCCTGGCACCAGTGACACTAACACATTACTACTGACACCAGTGACACTAAGACATTACTACTGACACCAGTGACACTAAGACATTACTACTGACACCAGTGACACTACCACATTGCTACTGGCACCAGTGACACTAAGACATTACTACTGACACCAGTGACACTAAGACATTACTACTGACACCAGTGACACTACCACATTACTACTGACACCAGTGACACTAAGACATTACTACTGACACCAGTGACACTACCACATTACTACTGGCACCAGTGACACTAATACATTACTACTGACACCAGTGACACTACCACATTACTACTGACACCAGTGACACTAAGACATTACTACTGGCACCAGTGACACTAAGACATTACTACTGGCACCAGTGACACTACCACATTACTACTGGCACCAGTAACACTAAGACATTACTACTGGCACCAGTGACACTAAGACATTACTACTGACACCAGTGACACTACGATATTACTACTGACACCAGTGACACTAAGACATTACTACTGGCACCAGTGACACTAACACATTACTACTGGCACCAGTGACACTACCACATTACTACTGACACCAGTGACACTAAGACATTACTACTGACACCAGTGACACTAACACATTACTACTGACACCAGTGACACTACCACATTACTACTGGCACCAGTGACACTAAGACATTACTACTGGCACCAGTGACACTAAGACATTACTACTGACACCAGTGACACTAACACATTACTACTGGCAGCAGTGACACTAAGACATTACTACTGGCACCAGTGACACTAAGACATTACTACTGGCACCAGTGACACTAATACATTACTACTGGCACCAGTGACACTAAGACATTACTACTGGCACCAGTGACACTACCACATTACTACTGACACCAGTGACACTAAGACATTACTACTGACACCAGTGACACTACCACATTACTACTGGCACCAGTGACACTAAGACATTACTACTGACACCAGTGACACTAACACATTACTACTGGCACCAGTGACACTAAGACATTACTACTGACATCAGTGACACTAAGACATTACTACTGACACCAGTAACACTAAGACATTACTACTGGCACCAGTGACACTAAGACATTACTACTGACACCAGTAACACTAAGACATTACTACTGACACCAGTGACACTAAGACATTACTACTGGCACCAGTGACACTAAGACATTACTACTGGCACCAGTGACACTAACACATTACTACTGACACCAGTGACACTAAGACATTACTACTGACACCAGTGACACTAAGACATTACTACTGACACCAGTGACACTAAGACATTACTACTGACACCAGTAACACTACCACATTACTACTGACACCAGTGACACTAAGACATTACTACTGGCACCAGTGACACTAAGACATTACTACTGACACCAGTGACACTAAGACATTACTACTGACACCAGTAACACTAAGACATTACTACTGACACCAGTAACACTAACACATTACTACTGACACCAGTGACACTAAGACATTACTACTGACACCAGTAACACTAAGACATTACTACTGACACCAGTGACACTAAGACATTACTACTGACACCAGTGACACTACCACATTACTACTGACACCAGTGACACTAAGACATTACTACTGACACCAGTAACACTAAGACATTACTACTGGCACCAGTGACACTAAGACATTACTACTGACACCAGTGACACTACCACATTACTACTGGCACCAGTGACACTACCACATTACTACTGACACCAGTGACACTAAGACATTACTACTGACACCAGTGACACTAAGACATTACTACTGGCACCAGTGACACTACCACATTACTACTGACACCAGTGACACTAAGACATTACTACTGACACCAGTGACACTACCACATTACTACTGACACCAGTGACACTAAGACATTACTACTGACACCAGCGACACCCTCGCGTGGATGATTGACAGCGGTGCGGCCACGCCCACCCCCGGCCGTGCGATTTCTCGGCGAGGATTGTGATGGTTGTGATGGTTGTGATGATTGTGATGATTGTGATGATTGTGCAATGCGCCTGCCCGCCCCTCCACCTCGATTCCTCGAACCACGAATAAACATGACCCCGCACCCCCTCGTCTCCTGCCGTCCCACGCCATCACTCCGTCTCCTACGAGGGGGGGTGGGAGGGGGGGTGGGAGCGGGGGGGGGGGGACGAAGCCTCCCCCCCCCCACACATCCCCCCCCCCCCACAAATCGCAAGAGGAGTAGGAAGAGAGGAGTCCGCGGTTGAGGAAATCTCGCTGAGCGGCCGCGTGGAAGCCCCTCGCGTTGGGCGCTGCGGTGGCCACGAGATGTTAACTACCTCGCCTGGCATGCAGGAGGTCGTGGGTTCCACCACCATCATCATCACGGTGGCTAGGAGATGTTAACTACCTCGCCTGGCATGCAGGAGGTCGTGGGTTCCACCATCATCATCACGGTGGCTAGGAGATGTTAACTACCTCGCCTGGCATGCAGGAGGTCGAGGGTTCCACCATCATCATCACGGTGGCTAGGAGATGTTAACTACCTCGCCTGGTCTACAGGATGTCGTGGGTTCCACCACCATCATCATCACGGTGGCTAGGAGATGTTAACTACCTCGCCTGGCATGCAGGAGGTCGAGGGTTCCACCACCATCATCATCACGGTGGCTAGGAGATGTTAACTACCTCGCCTGGCATGCAGGAGGTCGAGGGTTCCACCATCATCATCACGGTGGCTAGGAGGTGTTAACTACCTCGCCTGGCATGCAGGAGGTCGTGGGTTCGACCCCGACCCTGACACATGCTCCTGTATGTTTGGCTACTATGCATTTCCACGTGGTGGTGACGATGATGGTAAGCCACTTTGTTGAGCTATCGTTTGAGATAGGCCAGGTCGCTTTTGTAAAAAAACAGAACTGTATCGTAGCTCGGTTTGGTTTCTCACCTGGTAAAATTAATAAAACATTGTTTAGTTTATTGGAGAATCGGGACTCCGCGGTATTGGATGCCACAAAGGGGGGGGGGGGGGGCGGTCGTGTGACGTCACAAAGGGGGTCGGGTCGTGCGACGTCACAAAGGGGGTAGGGTCGTGCGACGTCACAAAGGGGCGCCCGGTCGCGTGACGAAGGTTTTTTTATATTTCCCTCCCCGCCCCCCTCGATTCGTTGTTCCTCGGGGGTTCACGGTCATCGCCTTCAGCAGCCAGTAGAGGCTGCCCTGCGGGATCCACGTCGCACAGGCAACGCAATTGTTCGGTGCGAGGGCCGCACCTTAGCCGCCTGGCGCGGACATTTCGCATTCCCATGGCGGGAGCAAGTCCGTCCTCAGCAAAGACCCTGCTGGACATCCGTGAGTGCTACCGGACGTCTGCGGGGAAAGTTCTTTGTAGCTCATCGTGTCCCTCCAGTATAGATCATGATTGCGATGCCGAGTTTTAGGCTCACACCCCCCCCCCCAGACCCCCCTCCCCGGCGCTTGCGAGGAGGCAGGCGGCGCGGGGTTTGGTTGTGTGGATGTCCTTGATGGGATGCAGCCGGCACGGTGGGGGGGCGGGCCGGGGGGGGGGGGTTGGTCTCAACGGGGATCTGACGATACCCCCTTTAGCCCCCCTCTAAATCCACTCATTACAGCTCAATTACACGCGGGATTAACGGGGTCTCAAGGGGGGGGGGTCCCCCTCGACCCCTCACCCTGTCCCTCCCGCACTCCCCCCTGCACTGAACTTGACCATCACCCACTCTCCTTACCACTCCTCGCCACTCACCATCCTCACCACTCCTACTCAACACGAATTCTCTCCTCCCTCGCCACTCACTCGCCCCTCTGTCTCGTCTTCCTCCTCCCCCCTCTGATCTCCCTTCACCCCTCACCCCCTCCTCACCATCCTCCTCACCACTCACCCTCCCCTCCTCCTGCACTCACCACCCACACCGCCCTCGCCATTGAACTGGGGACGATCGGTGATCATCAGTGATGACAATCGGTGATCAACAAAAGTGGTCATCATTCGTGATCGCCATCAATGGTCATCATCGGTGATCGCTATCAGTGACCACATTGGTGATCATCAATGATCACAGTCGGTGATCATAATCAGTGATCTCACTCAGTGATCACAATTGGCGAGCATTGGTAATCGCCAACAGTGATCACCATCAGTGATAATCGGTGATCGTCATCAGTGATCACCAACGATGATCACCATCCGTGATCACAACTGGGCCCGCTGTGTCGCTACATCGGCGCGCTCTCCGCTGTAACTTTCGATTCTATTTTTTTTTGCCTGGACGGGCAGCGGCAAGCGCAGAGCGCATAATCATTTAGGCCTGAGGCTACCTAGGGGAGGCCCACGCCATCTTTCATCGACAATAGCGCCACTTTAACACAAAGACCATGGACGGGCTGGTGGAAGACGACGACGACGATGATGATGATGATCAAGATGATGGTGATGGTGGTGGTGATGATGATGATGATCAAGATGATGGTGATGAGTGTGTTCGATTTGATGATGGTAATGCTGCGTGATGCACAAGCACTGTTATGCTGAAAGGCCACTGCCCCGAAACGTGAAGAACCAGTGGCATCTACATCAGCAGAACGTGAAGAACCAGTGGCATCTGCAGAACGTGAAGAACCAGTGGCATCTACATCTGCAGAACGTGAAGGACCAGTGGCATCTACATCTGCAGAACGTGAAGGACCAGTGGCATCTACATCTGCAGAACGTGAAGAACCAGTGGCATCTAGATCTGCAGAACGTGAAGAACCAGTGGCATCTACATCTGCAGAACGTGAAGGACCAGTGGCATCTAGATCTGCAGAACGTGAAGAACCAGTGGCATCTACATCTGCAGAACGTGAAGAACCAGTGGCATCTACATCTGCAGAACGTGAAGAACCAGTGGCGTCTGCATCTGCAGAACGTGAAGAACGAGTGGCATCTGCAGAACGTGAAGAACCAGTGGCATCTACATCTGCAGAACGTGAAGAACCAGTGGCATCTACATCTGCAGAACGTGAAGAACCAGTGGCATCTACATCTGCAGAACGTGAAGAACCAGTTGCATCTACATATGCAGAACGTGAAGAACCAGTGGCATCTACATGTGTAGAACGTGAAGAACCAGTGGCGTCTACATCTGCAGAACGTGAAGAACCAGTGGCATCTACACCTGCAGAACGTGAAGAACCAGTGGCATCTACATCTGTAGAACGTGAAGAACCAGTGGCATCTACATCTGCAGAACGTGAAGGACCAGTGGCATCTACATCTGCAGAACGTGAAGAACCAGTGGCATCTACATCTGCAGAACGTGAAGAACCAGTGGCATCTACATCTGCAGAACGTGAAGAACCAGTGGCATCTGCATCTGCAGAACGTGAAGAACCAGTGGCATCTACATCTGCAGAACGTGAAGAACCAGTGGCATCTGCATCTGCAGAACGTGAAGAACCAGTGGCATCTACATCTGCAGAACGTGAAGAACCAGTGGCATCTACATCTGCAGAACGTGAAGAACCAGTGGCATCTACATCTGCAGAACGTGAAGAACCAGTGGCATCTACATCTGCAGAACGTGAAGAACCAGTGGCATCTGCATCTGCAGAACGTGAAGAGCCAGTGGCATCTACATCTGCAAAACGTGAAGAACCAGTGGCATCTGCAAATTATGAAGAACCAGTGGCATCTATAGCTATAGGCGATTATACAACTGTTAAAGCAATTCCCCGTGTTTCGTATACATGCGGTACATCATGTTTGGAATCTACAGATCGACTTATGAACAAACCTCTCGAACTTAACTCTTTTCGTAAGTAGAGGCGTCCCTGTAATTCGATATTGCGTGTTAACTTGTATTGCGACGATGCTGCTGATGGTGATGATTGCGTTACATTTGACGATTATGATGGTTTTGATCAGTGTTATTACCGTACACGTATTGAGAAATTGAATAGTCATGCATGCTCACTTTAGAACTTCTGTTGATGCTGCTGATGATGGTTTGAATGGTGCTAATAATACAATTCGTGATGATGATTACGGCATTGACTGGAAATAAAAGCTTATATTCCAAACCTCTGCTGCTGTTACTGCTGCTACTGCTGTGTATCTGAACCGTTCCTGGGCCTCCCCTAGGTTGACTCAGCCTCATATGAGTTCCTGGTGCGGTGTGCAAACATCGCCACCAGGGAGACAAAGGCGGCCGGGCGTGGTGCTGGCCACCCACCCCCTCTCGTGTATCGTTCTGTGCTGGTCTTCACAGGTGCTCGTTAATACCCCAACAGTCTGTGAAGGCTACACGGGGGTTATTTGTCTTTTGTGATACCTCTGATGATGATGATGACACTCCTGCGGCTGAAGATGACAAGTGACATGATGCGTGATCATTATTTGAGTGATCAATGTTGCCAAATGTAATCGACTTAATTGCCAATTTTAATGCCTCTGCCGCTGATATATTCACGTGGATATATTCACGTGGATATGTGACGCGAGTATCTCGAATACCCTGTTATATTATATAGTAACATGTTACTATATATAGTAACATGTTATATATAGTAACATGTTACTATATATAGTGTTTATAGTAAGTATATATAGTAAGCATATATAGTAAGTATATTTAGTAAGTATATATAGTAAGTATATTTAGTAAGTATATATAGTAAGTATATATAGTAAGTATATATAGTAAGTACATATAGTAAGTACATATAGTAAGTACATATAGTAAGTACATATAGTAAGTATATATAGTAAGTATATATAGTAAGTATATATAGTAAGTATATAAAGTAAGTATACATAGTAAGTATATATAGTAAGTATATATAGTAAGTATATATAGTAAGTATATATTGTAAGTACATCACGTGAGGCTGCGTTCATGCAGTCCGTGAGTGCGCGGTGGGGAGCGGTGGCGCAGCGGTTAGCGCACTGCGCTACGAACCCCGGCCGACCCGGGTTCGACTCCCCGCTCTCGGCCAACACCACGTGACGATTATTCTCCTCTAGGTCGACACGTCCTCAGACAAGTACCTGGTGCGCTGTGGTAACATCGCCACCAGGGAGACAAAGGCGGCCCGGCGTGGTTGCTGGCCCGTC